AAAAAAAATTGAGTCGAGGGTTCGTATATGAGCCAAGCAAAGTCGACACAATAGCGGTGGCCCGATTAGTTTCCACACGGATCTCAAACCATTAACAAACAATAGTTTTACGCTTGAGCCGTTTATATACGAAATGAATTTTCTGATACGCTTCATAATCTTTCTGCTTGACCCCTCGGGCTTGGTACGCCGTCTATTGGTACGTCCTGCAGTTAAAATAGGATACAATATATATGATGATATAAAGAGCAGAGCTGATGAAAAAGTTGGCTCCTTGAAAGAGTTAGTACTTCGCGTCGGATTAGTTGCATTCGCTGTAGTGTTGATAATTTGGATAGCAGTGTTCATGTATGTCGCCTTCTACTATACATACATGCCTGCCATTTCGCATACACGACCGGTCCATATGCAATTCAAGTGAGTATGTATTATAAAATTCGCAAGATCTAATTCAAAATAAATGTCCTTCACTATTAGGTCATGTTTGGATTCCGCAACACCTTGCACATTTCCTCACGCTCATGTCTCGCTCACAAAGAAACAACAGTTGTTAATGGTAGGTCAGGCATATCGCGTAGTTGTCCAAATCGAAATGCCAGAGACACCACAGAATTTGGAATTAGGTATGTTCATGGTTTGTGGAGAAATGCGTGATACCAATGCTTTACTACGAGGGCAGTCCTGTCGTTCCGCTATGATGCGCTACCGTTCGCCTCTGATACGTGGAATAACTACCTGGGTATTGAGCCCACTCTTTGTGCTTGGATTGAAGGAAGAATTCCAGCGCGTACCAGTGGAAATATTCGCAAACTATTTAGAAGAGCGGCAACATCCAATTACCGACGTATTCGTAGAAATTCAATCGCAAAAAATACAATTTTATACAGTATCCTTGCACATAGTCGCTGACTTTACAGGGCTACGGTACATTATGTACAATTGGCCAATACTTTCTGCTGTTGTTGGTAAGATTAATTTTGTACTAAAAAAATCAAGCTTTTATTTACACCACTTTTATCAAATCTTTAATAGCAATCAGCACCAATCTGTTCTTTATTTTGGTGATATTCCTACTAAGTTGGTATCATTGGTCCGACACCACATGGTTACACAATTTGCGTAAAAAGTATGGACGCATTACCGAAACTTTACAGAGTAAAACTAGTAAGGCAATTGCGTCGAAAAGTGGCTTCCGAGATGATGAAGATTTGAGTTTTCTGGATGACAAATCGAATGGCTCAGAGATAGAGGAAATAGGAGGCAGCAGCGATAGCCGAAGAAGCAGCAAAGAGGAATTGATCGGTAGTAAGCCAAGGAAAGACAATGAGGAACAACAGATGCTTCTACGAAGAGTACAATAATCTTTTTAACGATTCCTACTTGTACTATAGATTGGGTATAATAACTATATATAACAATTAGCTGATCGTTTTTGAATATTGTTTTACTATTGTTTTAGATAGTTTTAAACAATGGTCGAATAAAAAGTATGTATACATCCATTCGTTAATAAGCACAACACGAAGCTATTGCTTATAAAATCCTACAACATATGTACATTTACACTTGCTCATTATACATTAAAGTGAAATAACACTCGTATTACGAAAAACAATAAAAGGTGTGTTAATTGATAAGCTAAGTTGACCTGACTATCCATAAAAAACCATAATATGCATATTATGCACAACATACATACATGCCCTATCTCAGAAAACTTTTTAAGGGCGGCCTATTTCAGAATTCGGTTCAAAAACGCCCTATCTCAACATATTTTCAATATATCGCACACGATCTTCAAAAGTGACACAATTCAAAATTTGGCATTTTTGAAATTATGCGCCAAAAACCTAAATAGAGCTTTCATTTACTTACCTACATACCTTTCAACTAAAGCTAGAGCATTTGTTTTGTTGTAATGGAAAGTTTTCTGAGAGGGAGTTTTCGAAACGGCTGGCGAGATCGGTCGATCTTTCACTCAGCCGTCGATATACAGAAAAAGGTTATCCATAAACAGCAATGTACCCAAGAGCAAAAACAAATTCATATGGGGCTTCGTTTCCACAACTTTTGCAATAATAGTTTTAGACGACACATATCCTCTCTGTATCGCCTCGAGAAATTCTTGCCAACCGGTGCTGAAACGGAGCTTCTACCGACGAACAAGAGTCTGCATTTACAAATTTATTAATTCTCATAGCAATTCGAACGGTTTATTGGTTCCTAAAATGGTGATTAGTACTGATAGTGAAAAAATGCCGAAGTATAATTTTTCCCATTTGTCCATCACAGGTACATGCATAATTTGCTGCAGATAAGACCAATTGCTGTTTTATTTTTGGTTGAAGCTACGAAATTAAGATAAGAATGTTTCGACAAATGAATTATTACTCGGATGAAAATCATGTTGGTACAAATATTTGCTTTATTAAATGCATTTCTTCCTTTCTACAACTTTACAATGGCACGGATGCTTTTGCCTGCATGCATCAAATCAAATGCCTCGTTAATCTTTTCCATGCCCATAGTGTGCGTAATAAATTCATCGACCATTAATTCGTTTCTCAAGTATTCTTCCACCAGCTTGGGCACATCCGAGACGCTCTTCCATCCGCCAAAAGCAGTGCCTTTCCATGTGCGACCAACAACAAGCTGGAAGGGGCGTGTACTTATCTCTTGACCAGCTGCAGCAACCCCAATAATAACTGATGTGCCCCAACCTTTGTGTGTCGCTTCAAGTGCAGCTCGCATGGTGTTAACATTGCCAATGCATTCAAAGGTATAATCGAAGCCACCATCCAAGAGGTCAATGATATAATTCTGAATGGGTCCCTTATCGGCCACTTCCTTGGGATTGATGAAGTCGGTGATACCGAATTTTTTTCCAATTTCAAATTTATCCGGATTTATATCGATACCGTAGATTTTTGAGGCGCCAGCTTTGCGACAACCCATGGCGGTGGCTAGACCAACAGCACCTAAGCCCCAAATTCCGCAAGTACTGCCGGACTCTACTTTAGCAGTATTAATTGCGGCGCCATAGCCTGTAGGAATACCACAGCCTAAAAGTCCAACCTTTTCAAGTGGAGCTTTCTCGTCAATCTAAAAAAAAAATGGTTTTTATTAATTGATTGTACATACATTAATAAAATAAATCAAAAATTTATTTAGCGCACCTTGCAAAGGGAGATATCAGCAACCACTGTGTATTGTGCAAAGGTCGATGTGCCCATAAAATGGAATACCTTATGACCCTTACATGTGAAACGCGATGTGCCATCTGGCATAACACCTTGGCCTTGCGTTGTACGAACTTTTTGACAGAGATTTGTTTTATTGCTCCTGCAGAATTTGCATTCTTTGCACTGCGGAATGTACAGCGGTATGACATGGTCCCCGGGCTTAAATGCGTTAACACCATCTCCAACACTTTCAACAATACCAGCTCCTTCATGGCCAAGTATTACAGGGAACACTAGAATTCAAGATATTGGTTATGTATGGAATTGTATAAAATATGCATTTCCATGATATGTTCGGTAGGTATACATATATACTAACCTCCTTCTGGGTCAAATCCACCCAGAGTATATGCGTCGGTATGGCAAACGCCGGATGCTACGATTTGAATACGCACTTCGTGCGCTTTCGGCGGAGCCACCTCTACATCTTCGATTACTAGCGGCTTTTTCGCCTCCCATGCAATGGCTGCCTTGCAAGTGATAACCTTGAAAATGACGATATCATTTTGTTAGATACCGACATACATACACATAAGTATACATATATGTATAAATATGTAATTATAAAATCATACCCGCCACCACAACTAATTATGTACACCAATAATAAAGTATATAATCATACAAATACTTATTGAGGAGTATTTGGAACATTTAATATCCTTACTTTGCCTGCTGTTGAAGACATCTTCCAGAATAACTTTATGCTACTTATTAATATTCACAATAAACCAAGTTTAGTGAATAGAAAAAAAGCTTTTTCACGATGTATCGATCGCAACTGCTTCAACTGGTGG